GTTAAGATTTCTAAACTCTCTTAAAGTTACTTGGGGTCAGGGAAGATGCATTTTACTTCTTAGGAGTCAAGTGTATATCTATTATTTTAGATACGTTAATTAATATAGTTCAATATATTAAAATAACGAGAAAAAAAATAACATACCCATTTGTTGAAAAAAATATTAAAATTTATAGATCCGGCATTAACTTGGGCCAACACGAACCAAAGTAATACCTATTAATTTTCATGCCACTCAAAAACGTCATATAGGTACATAGGCATGTGCGTTTGCATTCAATGATAGTACAATACTAATCGCGTGGCTATATAGAAGGCCAAAACCACAACCCATAGTAATTGCGACCACCCCCGCTTGCATAAATAGACACCAACCATTTATTTCGTTCATCACTTTGTAGACGAATCTCAAACCTCTATCGCTAAATTACAGCGAAAATAAACTGCAGCACGCCCAAGAACTTGACCAACTCTATATAAATAAGTTTTATATAATGGGTCATTTGGTTCACGGCATATCTGTTTAGTTAGTCGGTAATCTTTTATTACAAATAATTGATTTTTGTTGGTATATTATTGAAAATGTGATTACTCCTCTTCCCTTAGGTATTGTTGGATTACCGGCGTTTTAGACTAAAATGTCTTTAAAATTCCCCCCCCAAAATTATCCTTATTCTATCTTTGAATAATAAAAATTATACGAAGGTTAAATTACAAATTTATCCTTAAATTATTTTAAATTTACAAAAAAAATCCATAATTATAATTTTATATAAAGTTCAGTGGTTAAAAATAAAAGTTTACCCTTTCGTTAAACTTATTTATCTTTTCAATTTTGTAAAACAAATATATAAATTTTATGAATTTAAATTTTAAAAAAATATATATAAATTAATTATAGTAATATTATAGTAGAATTCAACTTGTTAAAAAAACGAATATATAATAAAGATAATTTGGTAAAATATACATTCTAATAATTTTTTATTCTTTTAACAAAACACGATAATCTTACATTCCTATTAAACCAACCAAACACAAAATACAACATTTCCAGTAATCATATTCTCTGATAATCTTTTATTCTCACTGATAATCTTATATTCTGTGAACCAAACACACCCTAAATATTCAAAGATTCCACCGACCCAAACAATTCGATATTCACCATGCTAATAATTATGAAAAGAAAAACTAATATTATCTAATGTATATTTTACATTTTGTTTAATAAGTTACATTATTTTAATTAAAATAATGACAGCACAATTTTAAATTTCGACACATTTTTCTAAGTATCAGTTTATGGTATGCATTGAAAATCCCATGGACTCGATCAATTATCATATGACGCGTAACACAAACCATGGAAATAAAACAAATGTTGAGCGACCATTTTCCCACGTGTGTGAGGGAGTGATGATTCTTAGGTAAGCCTTGAGATTGAGACCATTGACTTCTTTTTTTTCTAAAATATATTTTTGATTTTTCTGAATAACAATTGGCACAATTTCCTCAAGTGATAAAATTGGGCAAACGTGCCCTGATAACACTACATAGATTGTTTAATTCTTAAATTAACGTATTCATCTAATTAATTCTTTAAATGAGGTATTTTTTTACAGTAAATTTGGGATATTTTGGTGTCTTCAAAGTTGAACTATGTTTTTTTTAGCATCTTTCTCGGGATCTCCTAGCGTCTTCAGACATCTTGTTTGGGATCTTCCGACGTCTTGAGAGTGTTGGATTGTTTATGGGGATCTCCGGGCGTCTTTAAATTATCAAGAACAAAATTTGGCCTTTTTACACAAATATCACCTTAACATAAATTAATTACTTATTAGGCATTGTTTAAGAATATTTTATTGATCTAGCAAAATTTTAAAAATACCATTTTAAATAATATGAAAAGTTTTGATATTTTAAAAATTTATTTAATTATAAAATATTTTAAAAATATATTATTTTAAAATATAACACAATACATACACATCTTTTAAGATGGACTTATAAACTTCGATCTTACAACGTACGAGATTCATGATAAAAGACACTTTCTTTTTTATTAAATTTATGTAAAATACACTTCTCGATATATTATATGTAAATATATGTTAACTATTTTTTATTTAATTTTAATTTAAGTTTTATATAATTTTGAGATATTTTTTTCTTTTTTTTTTGACACTCATAAAATAATAACACGACAATAATGATTTAATGATTTATAAATATTAAATTAAATTGAAATTTAATATTAAGTTGTACAAAACTAAAAACTTATATATTTTATCATATATTATACTAAAGTTCGGTATATTTTTGACCGATACTTTTTGGTGTTAAAATATTATTGTAAAAAGAAGAGAGAATGGGCTACAATGGAAACATCATTAAGTGGTGTGTCACTAATATTTTAGGTAAATTATATACTGAGTAAACTTATATAAAATTTATAAAAATTTTATAGAAAATATTTAAAATTTTACTAGATCCGTAAAATATTATTAAACAGTGTCTAACAAATAATTAATTTATGTTAAGGTTATATTTGTGTAAAAAGGCCAAATTTTTTTCTTGATAACTTAAAGACGCCTGAAGATCCCCATAAACAATGCAACACCCTCAAGACGTCGGGAGATCCCAAACAAGACGCCGGGAGATCCCAAACAAAACGCCAAAAAAAATCTGGTTCAACCTTGAAGATGTCGAAACATCCCAAATCTACTGTAGAAAACACCGGAGAATTAATCGGATGAGCACGTTAATTTAGGAATTAAACAATCTCTATATCGTTATCTGAGCACTTTTCCTGATAAAATTGACTCTTTTATTCAAATGTTTCATTTAAAAATTATTTTTTTCAGTTTAACACTAAAATATAATTTTTTAAATTGATATTTTTTATACCACATAACAAAAAGTAACTCTCATAGTAAATACCTTTAAAATTGCATTTTGCACGAAGCATTTTCTGTTTAACAGTATGATAAACATAAATTTAATTGAAATAAATAAAGAAAAAATTTAATTGAAAATATGAAATTTTTTATTTAGCCACCCAAGATTATATCGTTTAATATGAATAAATTCAATAATCCTTATTTTTAAGGAAAAATCATAAAAGGTTTATTCTATATAAAATATTTTTTTGTTATTTTTCTTAAAGGAGTTCTTATATTGATTCATATAAAATAAAATATTTTTTTGAGAGGCAAAAGCGTAATTTTCTTTTTTCTTCTTCTTTATTTTATTTTATTTCCTTTTAGTTTAAGCAATGTTCAACCCACGATCACATGGATAGAGCCGTAGAGGGTACTTCTTGCAAAAAAAAGTATTTTTAAACGTGTTTCATGCAAAAAAAAGAAAAGAAAGTACTTTTGTTATACGTTGCATAAAAAGTGTCAATCCGAGAAATAATAATTTTTAAGTGTTTTATTAAAAAATGATTTTTAATTTAATAAATTTGAGTTAGATTATCAATAAAATTGTATATTATTTTATAAAAATAGTACATTAATGGTATTTTTATACCAATAATATGTTTTTTATATTTATATAAATAGCCATCTAAAAACTTATTTAATAATTTTTTTTATAAATGTGTATTACATAAGTTACATTTTTTTTCTTCAAAAGGCGTATTTTGTAGAATGTATTTTTATTAACGTGACAAGGATTTTGGATAGAACCTCCAAAATACACACACATGTAATTGTACAAATATATATCTTTGACATATGCAACACATATTTCATCGTTTTGGAAGTTTCGTCTGAAATCCCTAACATATTAATAAAGACATGTCCTAAAAAAATGACTTATGTGATACATTTTATCAAAATAATTTTTCGTTAAAAAATTAAAGACTATATATGTTGAATGTTAACCCGTTGACTGTGCTATGATAAAATTTGATCTCAAAGCTGTTTAAGTTGTATTTTATGGTAAATCTATCCGTTTATATTATGTTGTGAAGTCAATTTTTGAAATATTATATTATTGAGTCGGCGTTTGAAAGTAACGTTGGTGCCAATAGACATCATTAAAAATATAATTTTACCAGATCTCAGTCAGTATGTTAACGTCTACCTTAGACAACCGTCAAATTTTAACGAAAAAGGATAAGTTTGGAATATATAAATAGTCAAATGATTATTTTATAATTTTTAATAGTCGAAATAATCAAAAAAGTAATATCTTATAGTTAGGGGACTATTTATATACTTTACCTTAACTTTATAATATTTAATTTCCAAATGCTATATTTGAAATTTGAAAGTGATTCTCTCAATGTTGTACGACAGTTAAAGGAACATCGTGCAGCTCATTATGTGCTCGGATTTTATCTCTATGAGGCTCACCGACTCCTTGATGCTCACCCTTAAGTTACTGTTGGTTCTGTTCGCCGTGAGTTCAATGACTCCACTCATGTTTTAACTACCTATGCCTCTACTAAATGTTATGCCTTTGTATTTTGAAGCTGTTTTTTTTTTCTGTTTCTCTTTCATTATTGCTGCTATGATATTTTTTATTAATAAAGTCATTATTTACATTCAAATAAAATATCGAACGCTTACTCGTTTTAATTTATTTTAAAATTAAATTATTTTATTTTTTAAAAAGGAAAGAGATGAGAAAAGAAGGGTGATTCACGCGGGACGAAAGAGTGCAGGTTGGTGAGGCAACCCCATTGCCAGCTGGCTGTCGGGGAGAGGTCCCCAGATGCCCAGCCAGATCCCTCGACACGTGACTCACCACCCCCTCCTTCTCCCTACCTCTTTCCCCAAAATCTCATAACAAAAGAAACCCCATTGCCTTCTTCATCGATCAATCAAAACCAACTCAACACTTATTCAACACTAAATACAATCTATCTTTCATTTTAGATTTACATTTTGTATTTTCTTCTTAGGCTTCTCGTTTCACCCTTGCCTTTTTTATTCACTTTTCTGTTTCTATATAAAAAAATAAATTACTGGTTTCTTTTTGGGCTAATTCACTCAAGGAGGATCTGAGGTTCCAATGCTATCGGATTAGCGTAATGTTTTAGTTCGTATTTTCAGAATGCGTTGCTGATTTTGATTTGTTTCAACTATTTATCAAATCGCGTTCCCCTCTTTATAGATCTTCTAATTTGATGTATATTTGAGTTTCTTCGTGATTCATGTTTCTTTTTTGTTTATTAGATTTTAATCACTCGAGAGAACTCCTGATTATTTTCCAAAAACTGGAATGAATATATGTTCTTTTTGGCGGGGAAGAATTTAAGTTTCATTTTAGGGTTGTTTTGGTTGCTACTTTGCTATGTCGTACGAGAGTGATTATTAGTCGATCATCTAAACGATTCTTCTAATTTTATAAATGGGGATTGTTTCATGCTGAATATATCGTTATCTTAGCAGAAAATCGTTTCTGGGATGGGTTGGCTTAAGAACTTGTGAAATAATGATAAGCAGAAATTCTAGATGTATGCATATTGTTAGATTTTAATTAGGCCTTTTTATTTGAAGCTGAAGGATATTTTGCATTGTATAGTACTTTCACAATTTATTTTCTTGGTTTATGCACTTTCCTCATTTGTCTGTAGGCGTTTCCCCTTTGAAAATCGTTGTTTGACTTTTTTATTTTGATAATAGGGTGTTAGACTCTTATTGAAATCAGAAGAATTTATCCATTTGGTCTAATGGTTTTGGTCTGCAGGTCTGATGGCCTCCAGCACAAACAAGTCATTACAAAAGAAGCTCCTCATCATATATTATGTTGCCTGAATACTATTCCTAGATTGAAAATAACTTTTATGGGGTGAGGGGTAGTGCGAATATGGTTTTGCATTTCGCATGCTTGAGGAAATGGAGGATACACGAGATGATGCAGGGTCAGCAGAGCAAGGGTCTTCTAATGCAACCTGGTGGTCGTCAGATTTTATTGACAAGTTTGGTTCTGTTTCTTTGGGTTCTCAAGGAGAGAGTTTGAGTAACAGGGAATCTCCTAGAAATTTTGAGCAATATGGATTGGCATCTCAGACAGCATCACAGATTTTGTGGAGTACTGGAATGCTTTCCGAACCCATTCCAAATGGCTTCTATTCCGTCATTCCGGTGAGGATTGATTTATGTCTTTTGTAATTAATAGTACCTCACTTGCTGCTTAACTATTCTTGTTCTTAGGTTGAAACTGAGGTTCATAAGATAATGGGTTTTTACTTCTTCCCCGTCTTTCTCTGCTATTTTCTCTTACTTGTACTAGTTTTTTAATTGTATTTACTAATAATATACTTCTTGAGGAGTTTATTTCCAATTTCATTTTTCGGGATACATATTGCTTTAAAACCTTATTGTTTAGATTAACTTCGAATGAAATTCGAAAAATGAAGGAAAATACTAGACTTAATGTTATAGACATGTTTGGAACTATTCAAAAGTGGGGAACTTATTAGAACTATAAAAGAAAGTTTAGGGACTTCACGTGTCTTTTACCCTAAGAAATTTATATCATATACTTTAATTGAGCAAAATGACATTGAATAGCTTATTGAGATATCTGTTGTTGGATTCAACAAATTACTTAAAAGGTATTAGGGTGAGACGGTAATACGGTCGGGAGCAAACTGATTTTTGCTATTGATACATTCATTAAGGTCTTTACCACTTGCTTTTGGAGATATTGATTTTTTTTCTATTCATAGATTTATTGAGGATCTTTACCACGTTTTTTATGCAAATGTCACAAGTTATTGCACAAGATGTCGTTTGTTGATGACATAGGATAGGAATACAATATGTTAAAATGACAGGGCAATGATGTTTATAGATTAGGGGTTAAAATTCATTCATTAGTGACAAAAGCTTTCATTGCTAGTTGCCTCATCACCACATGGGTGGTCTTGTGATGAATACCAATCTTCCCTTTTTCCACCAAAGAGGAAACCAATGGGGATTGGGATTTGGTACTTATGGTAAGAGGAATTTAGGTGAAATTTGTAGCAAAGTTAATGAAGAGCCATCTGTATCTGATAATTGATCTTTAAAGAATTCCAAAAAATGGAAAAAACTTGAATAACTTCTGGAAAATGACTATGGTATCTTTGATCTCAAGTATCTTTCATCTGTAAGGTATTAAGTTATATTGATGAGAAAGCAAAGTAAGCGGAAGTTTTATTTACTGATCTCAAGGATCTTTCATCTACAAGGTACTAGTTTTACTTTTGGGGACAAATGTAGGAGTGAGTTGTTCAGAGGATTGAATCTAAGTGGGATACCATCCCTTTTTCTAGGTGAAAAGTAGGATGGTTCCTTGTGTTCCAGTTTGTTACTGTTAGTGGAACACTACAATGTGTTTTAGAGAAGGATCATCTTGATGTATGTTTGCATCTTGCCTAGACCAACCTAAGTTTAATGGAGTCTCCATTATAATAACTATAAATAAAGCATCAAATCATGCACCTTAAAATTTGTAGAACGAAAAGAGAACATTTTAGGCCCTTATTAATCCTTATATCCAAAATTTTTTGGTATAACTATCGGTATTCAATTTATTAATCGACTACTGCAGAGGCCCAATATGGGGGTGACCCTCCCAACCCAATTTGCTCCATTTGCCAAGATTCAAACCCCTAACCTCGCTTAAGAAACCTAGTGTCTCATCACACTAGACCAACTGGTTGTTGGTCTTATATCCAAAATTTAATAGACTGGATATGCTATTACTGCGAGGTTGTAAGATTGAGCAATGCTGCATGTATCAAAATATTGTTTGTTTCAATTTTTTTTTCAAGAATGAAAGAGCAAAGAACACCATCTAAAAGAATTAGGCCTTGTTGACGATGCACTTCCTTTTAACCAATTGAATTTTTTTTCTCCTTCAAATACACTCCAATGTATATATCATCTAAAACTTTTCACTTGGTTCTGTAGTTTTCAACTGCATATTTTCTCTAACTCTGCATATCATTTTATAGTCAGAGTCCTTAATGATATTTGATCAAACCCACAACTGAGAACTGAGCAGTGTTATCTGGTACATCAGCTATAAGATTTCTGTTGTCATTGACAGCCATGCTCTCCTGAGTGGCTGATTGCTCCTAAAGCAGACCCTTGACAGTTTATGCATGAAAATATGCTTTAGAATTCAATTCCTTGGCAGTGCTTCTATGCTGAGAAGTCTCATGCGATTCTAAAGAAAAATAATTTTTTTTCTAGGATTTGATGATTATTAACTTGTAAGGACTCTGAAGTATTTTGCAACTGTACTTTTCTAGGAAAACTGATGATATAATCATATAAAGAGATGGAAATTAATTGCTTATGAAAGATTTGGTGGTGCTAACTAGTAAGAACTGTGTAGAATTAACGTTTAGCAGGTATTTAGCAGGTTTTCTTTACACTTCCTACTCGGATGCTTTGACCGTTGTCAAAGAAACCTGGCCAGTCACTTCTGCAAAGGATTCTGTGGAGTCCTTGAAATGTGAAATCGTAAAACTATTATTGTACCCATTTAATGCTTTTATCTGGATGATATATGGCTCATATATTGCTGGTGAAATGACTCTAAAACATGGCTGAAGTATGCATGTAGATTTCCATTTGTCCTATTTGTATGAGTAATTCTTAAGTTCAAGTATTACTACTCTCAGGATAAAAGGCTTAAGGAGCGATTTGATACTATTCCTACATTGGAAGAGCTTCATGTTTTGGGTGGAGAAGGTTATAGAGCTGATACTATTCTTGTTGATGCTGAGAAAGATAAAAAACTATCTATGCTGAAGCAGTTGATTGTGGCACTGGTTAAAGGATTGAACTCAAATCCAGCTGCAGTGATTAAAAAGATTGCCGTATTGGTGAGAATAGTTTGATATTTTTTTTCTTTAGTCCTTTTTCTTTCAATCTTGTCCCACCATTCTTATTGTCCATATTTCAGATTGCTTTGTTCTATTGTCATTAACAACATATGGCTAGATGCATCTATTTATGTTTCTGTTAGCAGATTGATTCAATATTCTTTTCTTTATCTCGTTTTGAAAATGAATTTCCTTTATATGCAAACATAGTCAATCCTTAATGCATGGGCTGTAATTGGACCATTTAGGTGTAGGGTATTTGCCATATTTGAAAAAGAATTCCTACTGTGCCACTTTGAACATATTTCAGCTTCTTCTAGTGGCATATAGGATGTAATAAAATAAGTAGTAGTTATTTCTCTTTCAGTGCAAACAATTTGCTACTGATATTTGCAAAATGTATGCAGTATTTGTTTCTCATAGAATTCAGGCAATTTAAGGAAACCTGCCTGAAATAAATCTGGTTACAAAAAACTGGTGTTATATTTGTGTTTGCACCATAGGAGGGTCATTACATTTCTTGAATAAAGTTTCTAAATTTGGAATTCAGTTATTTCTAAACGTTGATAATGTATATTCTTAGGTTGGCATATAGATTAATTTCAGTTTTGCACATTAGCTCAAATAAATAAATACGACTTAAAACCCACAGTCAAAGCTTGCTGCTTTAACCTTGTACAATGGGAAAAGAAATTAACTTCTTATTCTTCGTCAATTCCCTTTCATACTCGTATTCCTGCTGGAGCTCCATTATAAGCATTTATTACATCTTTTCAATTCTAATTTGGTTGTTTAAACTTAGTTTCTCTTTGTAATTCCTGATTTTTACCTAGGTTGCTGATGTTTACAAACGTACAATTGTGGAAAGTCCAGCAAAAGCTGCACTAGAAGTAAACTCCTACATATTTGAGAACCGAAGTGTCCAGATGCTGGGGCAAGTAAAGAATGGTTCATGTCGTCCCCGAGCAATTTTGTTTAAAGTTTTAGCAGACACTGTCGGGCTTGAAAGTAGGCTCATGGTGGTAAGATCTTGTATTACCATGTTCTATTGTAGGTCAGACTAAATGATTCATTTCTTTCATATATATATCATATATCAATTTCCAGTTTCTAAACTTGTAAAACTAACTTGAATGAAATAGAAGATTTCCCAAGACCTTAACGGTGGCCTATTGTTAAATCTATAACTGAAAGGCTGTCTTAATTTTTTTTATAAGAAGGGAAGGCCTCGTTAAAAACCCCCTTCATGATTAATGGAGCGCCTAGAGGTGCTCTTTAATCGGCCGAAAGAGGAAAAGAGTGCCTTATAATTCATTAATAACAAAAAGGATACATAAAGTTTAAAAACATCCGAAATCACCCCTTATAAAACAACACGAAAACAGAAAACAAACATCCCCAGCAACAACACTCTAATTAGCCCATTCCAGCCTTAGCTAAGCCATCTGCCTCAATATTAGCTGTCCTAGCACCCCCATCAAATTACACCCTCCAAATCTTTTAACCTATTTGCAATATCCTTGATAATTGTAACATACACATCTGGACATCTATCAAAATTCTGGACATCTATCAAAATTCTTAACCCATTCCACTGCCAACTTACTATCACTTTCAATTATCAACCGTGCCTTAATACACCCTCGAAAAGTCTCAAAGAAAGTTAATCCCTTCTGAACAACCTTTAGCTCCATCAAAGCAGGACACTGATTGCTGCATCTACATTCAATTTGATGAAGCCCTTAGGAGGAGGGGACTAAGGTAACTGTGAGACAATTGATTTGTTGAAGGACGAACATAAATCCCCTAGGGAAGGATCACTGACGAGAGAGTCCTTAGGAATAGAAACCTCTTTGAACTTAGCTAAGAACCATGAAGCAAGCCTAAATCTTGTCGTGAAAAATAAATCGGTTTGGTCTAACTTCCCCCCTTCAAACACAATGGCATTCCTGAATTTCGAAATGGTACATAGAACGACACTCGGAATAAAGGGCCAAATAAAAGAATTAGACTTCAAGTCTTCCCAAGCTAAAAGAAAACTGTGCATTTTCATGAAAAACCGAATTGAATCTCCAAAACTTCAGGAATTTATTCCATAATGTCCACGCAACAGAGCAGGAAAAGAATATACGAGAGGAAGATTCCTCTGCCAACTTACAAAATGGACATAAAACATCCACAATTCCGGAAACCCTTCTCTTAATTAATTGTGTCTTCATTGCCAATTTTGAAGAACAACATGCCACATAAAAGACTCCACTCTTGGAGACACCAATCCCCTCCACATGACGTTCTTCCAAAAAGGAACAACCTCCAAACCCGAAGAGCACGACTTAGCACACGAATTAACAAAGTAGACACCAACCCCATTACCTCTCCATATTAGACCATTTTTCGACACTTCAGACAGACTAAATTTAGAAATGATAGACAACAAATCTGACCACTGTTCCAATTCCCAGTCATTCAAGTTTCTCCTCAACTGTACATGCCAAAACCAACCTATTGATCGAAACTCACCAAACTCCATTAATTTACCTTTCTGATTTGAAGAAAGGGAAAACAATCTAGTGAAAACAACTTTGAGAGGAGAGTCCAACGCCCAATTCTCCTGCCAAAACCGAATATTCTCTCTATTGCCCACTTGGACTTTACACAGGTTGCAAAACTTGGAACCAAACAAGTCTTCTTTAAAATGATTATTCACAACCGATTTCCAAAGCCAAGAAGCTTGAGCTGGAATCTTGTTGTTAAACAATAATAAGGTCGAGTCGAGATTGTACTTGATGCAAATCATCTCCCTCCAAACGGAATTTTTATCATTAACAAACCTCCAAGACCATTTTCCTAACAGAGCTCTGTTCATAACATATAGATCCAACACACCCAGTCCACCCTCATTCTTGGATTTGCACACAGTGGACCATTTAACCCAATGAATCTTATTTTTCTCAATTCCTCCGCCCCATAAAAACTTTGCCATAATGGAATTAAGTTTTTTATTAACCGAAGAAGGAATCATAAATAAGGACAAATAATAAAATGGAAGTGAACAGAGAACCGCCTTTACAAGACCAATCTCCCTGCCAATGAGAGTGTTGATGCCTTCCAACTGGCAAGGTTCTTGTAAAAATTTTGGACAACCGAATCCCATAGGGCTGATGAATTTCTGTTTGCACCAAGAGGTAGCCCAAGGTAAGCTGAAGGAAAACTTCCAACTGAACAACTAATAGCCCTCACCCACTCCTTGACCTCCTCTTCACTAGTATTTATACCAAATAATATGCTTTTATTGAGGTTCAGTTGAAGACCAGACATGACTTAAAAAACTCTTAATACCCTCTTAACATTTAATATCTGCATCTTCGAGGCACCACAGAAAATGATGAGATCATCTGCAAATTGCAGATGAGATAAGTTAAAAGAACCCTCATTCCTACCTATTACCAAACCACAGAACAACCCCGCAGAAACCGCCTTAAGAAGCAATACATTATGGGTTTAAGGAATAATGTTGTTGGTATGGGGAAGATTCCTTCGGAATTCGAGGATGTGGTGGAGCACGAGATTGTGTTGGAACACGCGGCGAGAGAGTCAGTTTTTGAAAGAAGCGAAAGTTGTAAGTCTGCACGTGATATAGTGGGAATAATGGATTTTTTTGATTCGTCCAACTTGGATGGTCAGTTAAAGGCAAAGGTGATGAAGACCGTGATTAACATTATCAAAAAGCGTGCTATTAGTAATTCCAAGGGTGTGGAGGCCCAACAGGATGGGATGTGATTGGCAATTTGGATGAAAGAGCTAAATCAGGGTGTGTAGATAAGGATTTGGAACAGATTCTTAGAGTATTGGAGGGGAATTTAACTCTTCCCATTCCTTTGAAGAGAGAGATTCGTCCAGCTTTGGAGAAAGAGTCTACAGCTGGGTTTTTTGCCCTCTTCGTGTGGAAGCTCCTGGATGTTGTGTTTTATTTTGGCTTCTTTGGTTCTAGTCAGCTGTACTTTTTGGTCTTTATTTTAGGAGTTTTGTTTTCTGGTGCCTTTCGAGCCAAGAGTTAGGCTTTCAGTCGGGTCAGTCCTTTAGAGGCTGTTGCGGTTGATATGTTGGATTATGTTGAGTTTTGTTGCTGCTGTGGGGGTGTTTTCGGTTGTTTTATGGTGTTATGTTTTATGTAGGGGGTCGATCTCTGGATGTATATTAGTTTTTTTATGTTTAATGAAATCCTAAGGCACTCTTTTCCTCCTTCCGCTGATTAAGGAGCTTATCTATAAGTCCCTCTAATCAAGGAGGTTTTTAATAAAGCTAAAAAATGATGAGTGAGAAAGATAGAGAGAGAGAGTGAGAGAGTGACAGGTCGTTCATCCTCCGTTGAGGAATGGACTGTTTTTGTTGATAATCTTAGTAAGAGAGTTACTAGAAGTGAGTTAAGAGAGATTTTCAACTATTATGGAAGAGTTGTGAGGGTCTTTATTCCAAGTTTTACAGCTAAACCGAATTATAAATCATCGACGTTTGCTTTTGTGCAATTTGCGTTGGAGGCTGGTAGAAGAAGAGCAGTTCAAAACGTTAACGGAACGTTGATTGACGGGAAGAGAGTCTCAGTGGGGGTCGCAAGGTATAAGAAGGATATGAGGAGAGAATTAGATGGGAAAAATTTCAGAGGGAAGGAAACAAGTCAATTGGAGAGGTCAAAGGTAAGCAGCAGGTGGTTATGGAAAAACCAAGAAGCTTGAGGGATGACCGATCGTTCAAGGAGGTAGTGGAAGCGAATAATAGTGGGAGGAGGGACCAGGAATTAGTGGAAAAGAAGGGAGGTCATGACAAGAAAGTAAATGGATTAAGGGATGTATGGAATATGCACATTCCTACTGAAGATTCACATTGGGTGAAGAATGCTTTAACAGGGGTTATCAAGTATCCCTTTAAGCTCGAGATGCTGAGAGAGGCTATGCAGAATGAGGGATTCGAGGTTAAAATTGTAAGTTGGGGTTATGTTCGGAATGATTGTATTGTTATGTTCAACTCTAATGAAGAGTTCGTAAAGGCATGGTCGAATTGCCGAGAGAAGTTGTCTTCCTGGTTTCATTGGTTATCTCCGTTGTTGAATGAGGAAGGTGTTCCTTTGGCGTATTGCATGGTGGAGTTGGTCGGATTACCTTTTCTGTGCTGGTCTGAACCCTTCTTGGAGAAACTTGCAGGTACGTGGGGGGAGTTCGTAAGTATCATGGAGGAGACTAGAAAGAAAGTAGACCTCTCTGCAGCGAGATTATTGTTAAGGGTAGCTAGTCCGTTTGACATACCCGAATTTACAAATGTAGGGTCTTATGGTAGATCCTTTAAAGTTAAAATTAATTCGGGATTGAAGTGTACAAATTTTTCAGTTGTAATAGAGGAAGAGATGCAGAAGGCCTCAGATGATGGTTACGGTGTTGCTCTTTCGAAGGAGGAAGAAGATGGAAGTTCAGAGAAGGAAGAAGTCAACAGGGAAAAATCAGAAGAGGAGGTTCGGTCAAAGGAGGGCACGTGGCTTCAGCAAACACAAGATAGTGGGAGGTTTAAAAGTGATGGGGAACTTTCTATGAAAAAGAAATCATACACGGATCTCAGTACTAACGGGTTGACTGATAAATTTGAATTTGAATCTAACCCTATAAGGGATTATGCAGGCCTTGGGCTGCGAGGGGAAGTGGATCATATTCTTTCAGCCCAATCTGATTCTAATTGGGATTCTTATTCCCCAGTCACTAAATTAATTCCTGCTGGGCGGGAAGTAAATTTCAAGCAGGGTGGGCAAGTTAAGTCTGTTAATGATTCAGGTGAGAAGGATAGAAGCAAGTTAGTTGAGGAGGAATTGGCGGGAGTCCTTGAAGCTGAAGCTTCTGTTCCGGGTGAGATAGAAGAAGGAAAGGTGCTGCAGGAGGAGAAGTCTGGAAGCAATGAGAAGGTTTCTAAATGCTGGAAACTGGGTTATCCTGTTCCAGTTGGTTTGACAGTTAGATGTGATCATGAAGGAAGAAAGGGT